ATATATATATATATATATATATATATATATATATATATATATATATATATAAAAGGGTTCTTATTCTCCAAAAAATCATTACATCTCTAAAAGTTATGGAAGTCTAGTTGAAATTTTATTTTAAAAAAAAAAAAAGTTCTTATTCTCAAAAAATATTACGTCTCTAAGAAAAATATGATAGTTTTCAGTTCCTGCTATAAGGCAATAACATAAAAAATAAAAAAATAAAATAAAATGAAATCGAATGAAGTCATTCTGAAGTCAAAAGGCATTCCAAAACAGACAAGAAGATCAATCAGTTAAACCACAAAAGTGACTGAATCCCAAACAATCATGGCAAGTAGAAACATTTGTTTATTTGCACAGTGCACACTGTTATCTTCAATTAGCCTCTAAAGGGTAAAAAAATAACAGAGATTGCTCGTTTTTCTTTCAAAGGGCTTATGTGGGTTCTTCCATTGCTCAAGAAAATGCTAACATTCATCTGATCCTGAGGAAAGATATTACTGGAGGAAACATAATCCTAATATCATGTATGATACAACTTCATGATTGAATATAGCATTTCCAAATTTAGTCACAGTTCCTCAAGAGAATCCTCCTTACATTTATCTAGTTCACTCAAAAATCGAATTCTTGAGAACATATTTCTAATATCAATTGACATCTTTTATGATAAGTTGGAGAACCATGTGAAGCACTTCCCTGTTTTCCATTCAGTACATCTTAGAATGTCTCACCTGCTTCAACCCTCTTCGAATTTGTAAGGACTAACTACCATCTAAGAGAACAATTAGAGAAAAGATAGAGAATCATACTATTTTTAACCACCACAACATGACAGAAAAGATCAATAAATCAATTCGATAAAGTAACTCATCAACCTTATTCAATCCCAATAATATGAAACAAACATATATAAAGATATAAAAGATTCTTCAGGCTAATTGAATGATTCGGAGTAGCAGATTCTATCTACTTCCAATGAAAACAAAGACAGATATATTTCTGATTAGAAAATCCTTAATTTTTTTTTTTCCACATAAAACAAGATTGACAATTTCACTATAAAACTGATCAAAAATAGCATTTTTTTTGCAGTAAAAATCAAGTTATGAACTCACAGCAGCTGCAAAAAATGTCTTGTCACCGATCTCCGATATTACAGTCATCGCCAGTGACTTCGTTAACCCCTAATCATTTCCAAACAAAATGCCCAAAAATAAATGACTAATCAACCCAAATAAATTGAAAAATAAAAAATAAAAACCAATAGCGGCAAAGAATAATACTTGAAGAATTGAGAGACCCATCTTATGAAAAAAGAGCCTAAATATTTGGGGAGTTGAAGAAGCTGTTTTACAGTGAGAGATGATCTATATAATGCAGTATATATAGGGACCGAGTTCAAGGTCGGGACTGAGTTTGACTCGGTGGTGATCGACCGAGTCAGCGAGTAGAGAATCAGTACGATTCTCTATCGATAGAATCTAGAAAGAGGACTGCCCCTAGTTTTATTAGTAAGGAAATGCGTGATTCCATCAGAATCTATGACATCATCATATGCGTAATATTTTTTTCATAAAATTTATTTTCAATAATACATTTAACTCTATTTGGTAAGAATTAAAATTAGATTTTTAATAAATTTTGATAGAATTTTTTGAAATGTGTAATTAAAAAGTTGTGAAATTCATAAAATCTGTGGTTAATATTAATTGTTTGACTTTGATTTAAATTTTAAATTAAAGCAATACCAAATGGGGCTTAATGAAATCTATAAATATTATAATTATTTAATTATATTTTTCATTGACTTTTATTAAAATCTAATTTATAGTTAAATCACAGAGGGACTCAATATCGAATTAGTCTATCGGATCAAATTACAAATTATTAAAACTCAATGCATTTTTTTTTCTTTTCTAATCATTTTATTAAATTATTCCAAATCACTCGAATGCCATCATTGTCGATTAACAGGCTACTTTTAATCTTATTTAAAACAAAACAAAACAAAAATGCACATACAATTCTTTCAAGATATAATTGTTTCTAGGTTTCAATTGAACTTATTCTAAAAGTTTATAATGATATTTCATTTAACTAAATAAATGTCCTATTTAAATTAAAATGGGAACAAAATATGGAAAGATAGTTTAAATATCTTTTAAAATAATGTTTCAAATATAGTATATATATGTAATTTTCACTATAAAAAAAAAAAAAAAAAAAAAGGCAGAAAAAAAAAAAAAAAAAAAAAAAAAGCCAAGGCAGGTAGGAGGAGGAACAAAAAAAAAAGGAGCCAGCTCGGCTCGGTTAGGAAAAGCACGAGCCAAAAGCTCAGGTCGAGCTGAAATTTTTTGACCAAGTCGAGCTCGAGCCAAAAGTTTTCGGCTCGGCTCTTTGACATCCCCATGGAGAGGATAAAAAATATTTACTGTTGAAGTGGTGGATCGAACTCGATCCTCGACCACTTGGGAGAATTTGACAAGAAGTTCGTGTGATAACCTATTCTCATTTTAAAATTGTTACTCACTTTTGAATCTCTTGAAAATGGATTTAAGATGGGAGATTTGGTCTCAATTTAGTTAAGTTAAAATACAGATTAAAAGTTAAGTCAAAATCAATGATTAAATGTTAACCACATATTTTATAATTTTCACAACTTTTCAATATCACATTCTATCAAATTTTATCGAAATTCATAAAAATCTAGTTTTTATTTAATC